GAACAGGACCTCGAGCTTGTCGCCCAAGACACACTCTTGCTTAAGGCGAAAAACCTAAAATGCAGATTAGCTGATGCTAGAAGCCATCTGGAACATAAGAGTTCCAATCAAAATACTCTACCAATTAATCCAACAACTGTCAACGGAAAATTAATTAAGGTGCACCCAAATCTGAGAGACCTTCTAAAATCTGAAGGTTTTAAAAACCATTTTCCACAATGCAAACACAATGATATCATCACAAACTCAAACCAGCTGCAAAAGAGTTACACTAAAACTCTATTATCATCATCAGACACGCCGACAAAACCATTATGTAGTTTTTAACCGACAAGATTACAACCATCTATCCTAGATGCAAACCAAATTAAGGAAAAATCTGACAGAATCACGAAAAACAGTACGTAAACTAACTGATTACAGCAAACAATGCTGAGATCGCAATCTTAAAAATCAATAAGATTATTGGTGATTGCAAACCAGGATATCTGTACGGTAACGTAAAAACCAATAAACCAATTTTTCCTCTCCGACCTAAATACATTCCAACTATCTACATCAGTACACCAGATATCAAACCCCCTAAATAACAATTTTCCCATACACACCCAAAAACTACAGCATCGCAACAACAAACGAATACCTTTATATATTAAAAGCAACAAATTCCATTGGTAAGACACAAGCTTCACCCGATTTTGAAAGTCTTTATTTATATCTCGGTTGATGAAACAGTCAACATAATTAATGCATCTAACAACACCCGTCAATTCCTTCTCCCAAATTCCAGCCAGCAACTCTTCAGAAACTTCTACTGGCCTGTGCCACGAAAGCCACATCCAAACTAATGGTGTCAGCATGGGAAACCCATTAGGCCCTGTTTTCTCTAACTTTTACATGTTGAAAACAAAGCATTTAAAACAACTGACAAACCAAAAATCTGATGTGGTATGTTGATGACATTTTTGCTTTTATAAACAATAAGGATAAAATAATAAATCTAAAATCAACTTTGAAAAAAGAAACAACGCTAAAATTTACATATGAACTCAGTTAATAACAAGATCACATTTCTCGACGCCGATATAGAACGAAATGTCAAAGTATTTACCACCTACCCGTATAAAAAAACACAATGTTCAGTACAAGACTGCGTTTCTTGTTATAAATCAATTACCTATATCGAACATACTACTAGCTCCTTCATTACACATCTTACTTGTCATTTATCATAGCAGAGTGACATAAAAAATTATCAACCCACAATCTACAAGAACCCAAGAGAAAAAATTCCTGTTTAAAACACTATAATTCTATGTAAATCAAATTACCGAAAACATCTGGCTATAAGAGAGGCCCACAAATCTCTCCCCCACCATTAATCTCACCTTGTTTAACAACTGTAGCGGCGTGTTGAATTTTTTTAAACTTGAAAGTCGCTCACTCGAATTCCAGCTGTGTCCAACAAAAGAAGGCTCGGAATAAACGCTCCTAAGGTATTCAAAAACCACACAAATAATACATGTCCCACAGTCAACACGTGAAAAGACACTAACAATACCCAAACTTTTTCACCTTGAAAATGACTAAGGAAGTGGCCGAAATCGTTTGGTAAAATCGAAGATATGGACAGTTTTATATTACTTCATTGCCATCAAACGGGAAATGGAAGAACGCTGGAAAGACTAAATAAAAAATTAATTAAATTTTCCTTGTCTCTCATATTTAATGAAATTTGTTTAAAAGAAAGATTGCTGCTCAAATATACATTAATCATATATATATATATATATATATATATATATATATATATATATATATATATATATATAAGTGTGTGTGTGTGTATACTGGGTGTCCGTAAAGTTCGTGTGCACTTTAAAAAATTTATAACTTTATTTGTATTTGCAATAGAAATAATCTGTAAAAACTATTATAAAGTTTAATGTATCAAGTTTTAAGTATAGTTAAAATAACTAATGTGATTTCAGACATTACTGTAAATCAGTTGGTAAATGTTTTCCGTGAACTGCAAAATCAGATTACCCTTTGTATTGCTAATGTTGGATGACATGTGGAAACTTAAATAAAATTTCAATAAACCCTTAAAAAAATATAGATTTACCTCTCTCTAATCCTTTTTACAAATTATTTCTATCGCAAATACAAATAAAGTTATAAATTTTTAAAGTGCGCACGAACTTTATGGACACCCTGTGTGTGTGTGTGTGTGTGTGTGTATATATATATATATATATATATATGTGTGTGTGTGTGTGTGTGTGTGTGTGTATAACAGAGTTAACAAATTAATGTACGCTGTTTCTTACTTATATCGTCGAATCATTACAGCGCATTTTTTTTCTCTTTTAATTGTTAGAACTGTTGACGTTAATGATTTTGGGATTTTAAAATAATGTTAATTTATATAAAAACATCTGCGGTCTGACGGTTTTATAGCGCAACAATTATGAGCCATCTTTATTAGCCATAAAAAAAAGAAAGATAGACAAACAAATGATTAAAAGCAGTAAATGGGAAACAAAAACTCAAACCTAAAACCGACCTTTTTTTATGCAGTATCGCATCTAAACAGAATGGAATCAGAGGTTTTAATAAATCCACTTGAAAATTAAGATTTTCCTGAATTCTTCTCATTTATGAATAGTCTTGGAACTTCGACTCTTTTACCATGATCTCCGTATCTTGGCGAGCTGGTGATAGCTGATTGATAGATAGATAGATAGATGTGAACAAACTGAGATAGATAAATAGATAGATAGATAGATAGATAGATAGATAGATATGAACAAACTGAAATAGATAGATAGATAGATAGATAGATAGATAGATAGATAGATATGAACAAGTTGAGATAGATATACGTGAACAAACTCAGATAGATAGATAGATAGATAGATAGATAGATGTGAACAAACTGAGATAGATAGATAGATAGATAGATAGATAGATAGATAGATAGATGTGAGCAGACTGAATTAGATAGATAAGAACAAGTCGAGATAGATAGTCATGAACAAACTTAGAGGTGAACGAATTGAGATATATATGAACAAATTGAGATATGTGGCACCATTTACCGAGGCAGAAAAAGAAAAGAAAGAAAAGAAGGCAAAAGAGAGGCGAGACCCAAAACATGGATGATAAGCAGAACACCACGGCTAAGAGACAATGGATAAAGGATATTTTGATAAGTAACAAATGGCGAAAGAGTGTCATTACAATGACAGGGAAATTCTGAGTGGATAAAGGAATCGGGTGTGGTTTGGCGACGGCTGTGTTATCTGGGATGCGTAAACAAACTGCTGGTACGGGAAGGCATCCGATTATCAACCACAGACCGACTGGCCAAAGAAAAATCCAAATGAAAATGTTATTTCGATAAGTGACGAAAAACAGGTGGACTAAAGAGCTTTGGATAGATATGAAAAATTAATTGTGTCAAAAGCCGCACACGATGTGTCCACTGACCGATTTCTTTCGACGGAACATCTTTAGCCTGCGATAATAAAATTATGTTATCAGAAATATGTACCGAAAGGAAATGAATGGGAACTTAGAAATGTTTCTTTTCGGGGCGACGTCTGGCCGTGTTAAAAAGACCACCCATTCTGATAATTAGCGATAAGATGACAGACGAAGCCCAGGTGTAGAACAAGAGTTATGACCACCGTCGTTCGTATTGTCCTGTTTGCGGCTAGAGAAAATGATAACTGCGATTAAGAGGAAGAAAAGGAAAAGAAAAGATAATTTTTTTTTTAGTTAAGCAAGGTATTTTTTTTTCTTGAAACAAAGCCGGGGATTCGTCCACGCCCGACTAAGACATCATTGGTCGAGTGGTGATCACGTGACGCACGAAGGAGGCTGTCGCCGCCCATCCAGGGGATAGGTATGAGAAGCTGCTACGAAGAAGTGGGGAGGGCAGCTCACGCCCCTCTGAAGTATGGTGAGAAGGTGGGAGTAAGAAAAGGCCCCCAAAAATGGAAAAAAGTGGAAATTCCTAACCAGAAATAAAAGAGGTGGATATGTATTTAGAATTATTGAGGAACCCCCGACGCCGACAAACCCACTCCGGTTTTGGTCGGCGTCCATATAAGCGAAGCCGCAGCGAGCAGAAATCAGTTCCAGTTCAGCAGAGTGGAGTTGCAGCAGAGAGTTCGAAGCTCGCAGTGGAAGTTGGTTCCGCCTCGCAGATAGCTGACTTGAAAGATTCACGCACATTCCGGACTCCTCTTCAATCCAAGAACAATTATTTTGAAGAGCGACTTAGATCCAGACCACCAAAATAAGTTTTTTTCGACTTTCGTCCGAACACACACCGAAAAACCAATTTCTTAAAGAGCAAACAACTTGAAGCGTTAAAATTCGCCTAACGGAAAACAACGTGTCACAATCCATAGAACGGGTCGGGAGATAGACGCAGTCCTATGTATCGAACAACTAGACATAAAGTTTATCTTTTTCTTTGATACCTTGAACTTTTCAGTTTTCATTTTATTTTCTTTTATGCATATTTGTGTGGTGTCACCCCCGTTGAACCCGATTTGCATTACGGCCCCAACTACTGATTGATCTCGTCTGCCTAAGATCAATTCACAACGTGGGTAGGCAGACTGGAGATCAAGGCAGTTACTTTGGTAACCAGGCGTTGGAAGCGAGTTGGGACGACTCGGCTGATATCAAATCTAACCAGATTCCCACCCGAATCGCCAAAAGTTTAGAACGTCACATTTGGGTGCCGCGACCGATACCAAACCAGTTGGTCGTCACATGAAGAGACAACACGACTGACGCGACAGGCGGACGTCACGTTTGGAGCGGCGTACCCGAACGGAGCAGCAAGGAGCCGCGGCGAGGACGTCACAGTTGGTGCCGTGGTAGACCAGGATAGGACGTCACAGTTGGCGCTGCGACTAGGGGACGACGTCACAGATAGATAGATAGATATAAAGAAATTGAGATGGATAGACATGAACAAATTAAGATAGATAGAGTTGAACGAATTTAGATAGATGGATAGATAGATAGATAGATATGAACAAATTGAGATAGATAGATAGACAGATAGATAGATATGAACAGGCATAAATAGATAGATAGATAGATAGATAGATAGATAGATATAAACAGTGAGATAGATATATGAACAAACTAAGATACATACATACATACATACATACATACATAAATAGATAGATGTGAACAAATTTAGATAGATAGATAGATAGATAGATAGATAGATAGATAGATAGATAGATCCGGGTTATTGTCCTAATCTTTGCTGTTATTATCACAATGTTTCGCCCGCTGTGCCTTTCGGTCCTCATCAGATGATCACAGAATTTCAAACTAAACAATTTGTTTAGCTTCTTCTCGTTCCGCTTACCATGTCTAAGAATCTATCATTTATTCCTTATCTGGAATTGCTCAATTATTTCTTGCTCCGTTTCCAATGAGTTCAATTCACGATTATATCACCAAATTCAAGAACCAACGCTTTATTCCACTAGGCTATTGTTTCATGGGGCAATCCTGAGTAAACTGGAGCCTTAAACCTAGCCTACCTGCAAATGAAGGAATAAGGATAAAGATGATCTTCAAGGATGATTCAATGAAAGAAGCCGAAATAAAACTTTAGTACCAATGAATCCGACTTGGCCTGTAACCAGATGAAAACGCTCCACGTTATAGGAAGTCTTTAATACAGAGAACACTCTAAAATATTGATCGTCTATGGCAGCAATCAAAAGGCTTCGGTAGCTGCCTGTGAGGAAATTACCAAAGTTATCCTCGGTAAGATGACAGTTTCGTTAAGATTAAATCAATGGATTCTTTTAGGACTTGACTTACGTGCTAGTTATCGTCGCCGAGTTTACGACTCGTTCAATCCTTATCAACTGACTGACTGAATTATTGTCCAAGAGTTGTTCTCTTCTGTTATTAGACAATTTGTATTAGATCTAATTTCTGTTGCAACATCTATTGCAAATACTCGTAAATTCTACTGCAACATCTAGTCACTTGACAAGAAGTGAAAGCAATATTTGTCAGGCTTGAAATAAATTTTATCAAAGGAATCTGCATCAAATTATATCTATAATTTCTGACGAGAATAAAAAATATCACTGGCGCCATTTATATTAAAGACACATACACAAGATCAGTGAGAACTCGAAGAGCCGAGTTCGAATTCCACTTGAGTTTGTTAGATTCACTGACGCAAAGATACCCTTAAAAAGGTATGAATCCATCTCTTCTCCCCAAGCTATGGGTTGAATAGGAGGACAGGCTAGGTTCTTTAGCTTTGGTTGGCAACCAGTCTACCGCAGAAAGAAATGGCAACCAACTGCGGGAAAAATCTGCCTCGTCAGTCATGCATCGAAAGTTACCTGATCTGCCTCGTCAGTCATGTATCGAAAGATACCTGATCGCCTAAGCGTGTATCACGTATGGAACCTAATTCACTGGCTGTATTTAGATCTGAGTAATCAACGGAACCCTTTATTGAATCTACGGGGATATATATTCATAAGAGTGCATATAATTTGAACATATTTGTTTAATACCCCGCCCCTTACTATCTATCCTTGTGCGTTGTGGTGTAATGGATATCGGCTCGGAGTGAGAAGTCGGAGAGCCGAGTTCGAATTCCTTCCATTCCTATCATTTGGGCCTTTAGCAGTATTTCTCCCTTTGCCAAATCCCGCCTCCGTTCTGCCATACATTCACTACAAGCTCATCACGAAGGTTGCCCACTGCCTTCTGTCTCTTTTCCTTTGGGTAGATCTAACTACACAACCACATATATGTTTGCCTGTGCACGGGTGAAATTTATTACACCAAAAATCCAATACAACACACACACACACACATATATATGCATATATATATATTTTAACTTATTATTAAAACGTTATTTTTAATGGATACCCATATTTGAGTCGATGTTCTGTTTTTATTTATTTATTTATTAGCCAGTATACTTACTTATTTTCATCTACCGGCCTGAATGTTCAAGAAATCTTGTTAGAAAAATATGCGCCTTTGAATAACCCATTCCTAAGACACACACACACACACACACACACACACACACACACACAAAGAAATCGAAAAAGATTTTATGATTTCTTTTTTAATTTTTAGGTCTGATTAATATATAGGGTATTAGCACGTAAGTGAATGTAATGGATTCGACTGGAAAATCTGTCAGTCATGCTTGATACACGCTTAGGCGATCATGTATCTTTCGATACATGACTGACGAGACAGCGTTTTTCCCGCAGCAGATTGCCATTTCTTTCTGCGATAGACCAGTTGCCATCCAATGTTATAGAACCCGGCCTGTCCTACTATTTACCCATAGCTGGAGGAAAAAGAAGAGGATTTATACCTTTCCCAAGGGTATTAGCACGTAAGTGAATGTAATGGATTCTCCAATCCGAGCGGCTATTAATTACTCCAAATTGCCTTAATTACTTAACTGAAATGTAATTGCAATGAAATATCGCTTATCGTTTATACAGAGCTCATTATCTTGAGGAGGGGGATCAAATATATCTTAAATGTATGTCTTTTGAGATCTCCTTAAACAACGTGACAATAATTACGAGTGACTAAAACTTCACGATGAGGGGTCACGCGATATATCTACGCGTCGATAGAACCGATCGTCAGAGGATTAAAATGATGGTAATTTCATTTACTGTCTCGAATTGTACCTGCGAGTGACGATTGTCACCATTTATTTACGAGTATGACAGTCAGGTGAGAATGAGTACTTAAAAGTGTAAAACACACTACTACTACTACTATATATATATATATATATATATATATATATATATATATATATATATATATATATAAAAGGATTATTTTCCACCCTCCAATCTCTGTCTTACAGGCATGGTGTGACGAGCCTCCCACTGCCCTATCGTTACTACCACGGAAAGTACTTGGACGAAGTGCATCTCCAGGTTCCACCAGCTCTGACCTTCACGACTAAGACTCGCCATTACATAGTGGCAAACCATCCACATTCCCTCCGTATTCAATAACTCAAACGTATTCTTCCTTGCGAACCACTGCCCTGTGGAAAAAAAAACTCCCAAGAGAATGTTTCCCCGATCAATACAATCTTAACCTGTTCAAGTCTCGAGTTATGGAAACCAGTGGTAGAGGAATTCTTTGTAGCTGCATTAAAAGCAATGCCAAAGTTGTTGAGGCAGGTAGAGAAAATTAGTCTTGAGCAATTGAAAGACAAATTGAGTACCATGTAGAAGAGAGAAAAGTCTGGAAATAAACAAGTATAAGGAACGAATGAGTCGACCGTCTTCGGGATCATCGAGTCAATACGAACGATCTTTTCCTTAGCTGCATAGCATGTGCTTTACCAGGGCTACAGTTTTGAATTCAAAGTTTTCCTTCTCCTTGACTCAAAACTATAGAAACCAGTCTGTCCTACGATTTACCAATAGCTGGAGGGAGATTTTTTTACAGTAATGTTCAAAGCGTACAAGGCTCTTGTCACTCGAGGTAGAGGATTATATTTAAGAGGTCGGAGGGGAAGATAACTTGTGATTCTAGACTTGACTCAGGTTAAGATTGTAATGATCGTGGAAACATATTCTTGGAAGTCTCTTTCACAGCGCAAGAGTGCGCGGGAAGGAACATTTGAGCAAAGTTGGATTCGTACGTTTCCCAACGATATGTATCCAGCTCTTCAAGTTAGTAATGCGCTTAAATTCATTTAAGCCGAGGTTTCCTACGAGGAAAATTTACCAGAAGAACTACCACGAAAATATGTACATATTGTCTATATACCATTTTATTGTCATGGGCTCATTATATTCACGCATCTATTGTTTCCTACTCTAAGGTAAGCTTTTAATGCATTCCGCTGTTGTGTTTGGTGATTAGGCTTAGGTGAGCTGGCAAAAGGCCAGATGAAAAGTAATCGGCTATGAAAACTGTTTTTTGCTGCCAATATTCCAAGTGGGTAAATCTTACCTTCTTTGAAAATCAGCATTCGAATTCCTGGCTCCTACCTGGCCTCAATTAGTAACCTCTTACGCCCCTGCCAGTTATGTAACTCTCACCCACGAAGCAGATCAGAGTTGAGCTTTTTTTGGCAATCTCTGGCATAGAGAAGCGGATAAATAAATTATTTCAATTTTGTTCAATCTGCAAATAAGACTCGATATTTGGAATTTGTTTCCTCTTCAATTAAAACATCTGTGTATGTGTGTGTGTGTGAACGTGTCTGTTATTTTCAGTGTTTGTACATGTGTGTGCGTGTCCATGTGTATGCGTGTATATATGAATGTCTGTTATCTACAAAGTGCGTAAGTGTGTGTCTGAAAATCTGGTACTTCCAGTTTGTGTATGTGGGTGTGTGTATAGATGTGTATACGTGTGTTCATTTTCTGTGGGTGTGAAGGTTTAATTATCTATCTATTTGTTCACATCTATTATAGTTAATTATAGTGTGGGCGTGTGTATGAATATTCGTTATTTTTAGTTCGGGAAAGTGTATGTATATGCGTGTGTGGGTCTGTTTGTGCGTGTTTGAACGTCTGTCATTTACAGTGTGTGTGTGTATGCTGATGTTCGTAATGCTAGATCTGTGCTATACTTTCACCATATAGATGTATATTGGTGTGTATGTGTCACACTTATATTTTGTTCTCTGAGCTTCAGGGGTATATTGAAGTGCATCTGTATCTGAATAAGTCTTCTTATCGGTATGCTCGCATATATGATCCTCCCGGGAAACATCGCGTATGTGAAAGCGACTTCTATATACATACATACATACATACATACATACATACAGGCTGATAGATAGATAGATAGATAGATAGATATGAATAGACCGAGATAGATAGATAGATCGATAGATAGATAGATAGATAGATAGATAGATAGATGGGCAGACTGAAAGATAGATAGATAGATATATGGGCAGACTGAAAGATAGATAGATAGATATGAACAGACCGAGATAGATAGATAGCAGAGTGAAATAGATATATTGATATAACATACATACATATTTAGATATGAATATACCGAGATAGATAGATGCATAGATAGATAAATAGATAGATATGATCAGACAGATAGAGGGATGTGAACAAATAGATAGACAGATAGGCAGACTGATATATATATATATATATATATATATATATATATATATATATGAACAGATCGAGATAGATAGATAGATAGATAGATAGACAGGCAGACTGAGAGATAGATACACACACACACACACACACACATATATATATATATATATATATATGAACAGATCGAGATAGATAGATAGATAGATAGATAGATGGGCAGACTGAGATAGATACATAAATTGCGTCTTGAGATTATATGCAAGTTATGAATTGATATAAAGAGTTGCGTCTTTAATGTTAAAAGTCCTATTATGATGTTGTTTACATTCTACTTAATATTATTAACTTAGATATATAGTTATAGAGAAAACTATTGTTTTTGGTTGGATAAAATTTTACTAAGTTAACAAAACAGACTAATTTGACTGTCAGTAGTTTATTTGCAACTATTTATTTTGATACATTTACATTATTATACCTTGTAAAACTAATGTAAAAATAATATGAAAAGATTTTAGAACAAATTCGTCAATTTCTTAAAGGAAAAACATAAAAAAAAATTTATTTTAAAAATAAAAGATATATTAAAAAAAATAATAAGAACCTCCTAAAATTTATTGCAGTCTATTGTCAACATCTGATGTTAGATTTGCAATTTTATCGGCTGGTAAGTTGTTTGCAGCAACTTTAACTGCCTCCCTGAGGTCACACTTGCTGTTGAATTGCCTTCCATTAGAATAAATATCTCTCTTGAGGATGCTCCACATGTTCTCAATGTGATTCAAGTCACAGCTATTTGAAGGCCAGTCCATAAGAGAATCTTCAACAAATCCCTTTTCTTTCAACCAGGATTTAGTAAACTTTGATGCATGACTTGGTGCGTTGTCTTGCATAAAAATCATAGATCTACACTTGGCTAAAGACTGGTTATCAAGCCATTCAGTTTAAATGGACTCACGAGCTCATTACCAATAATCCCAGCCCATATCATGATCCCACCGTCGCCTTGTTGGCGTTTAAAAAATTTTCTTGAGTCATGTTGCTTGCAAACCCATCCTCAAGCCCATCCATCGGGCCCATCGAGGGTGATCCTTGATTCGTCTGTAAAAAGCACTTTACTGAAATATGTATTCATGTATAAAATAATACATGCTCACTGCAATCTTCTTTCATTATGATTTGTTTTTGTTAAAATGGGTTTCTTTATTTGATATTTTACATCAGCAAACTCCCTTAATGCTTTACACCTTGTTTCCCTTGACACCATAGGAGCTCCAGCGGTCTCAAATATGAACGCACTTGACGCATTTGGGTTTCTTATTAATTCTCTTCGGATATGTGATAGATCTCGCTTTGATAAATTCCTGAATTCAGCCTGAGACTTTTTTTCCTTGGTTGAATTCCCATTTGACATATTTTCTTGATTGTTCGATGATCCCTTTTCAAATCCTTAGAAATTTGAAGCGAAGACTTTCCTTTGCTAATTTCTTTGATTATATAGTTCTTTTCATTCATTGTTAGTTCTTTTTTAGGAGCCATAATACTAAATTCTAGGTCTTGCAAATAATCTCTTGACACTGCAAATTGCTATAATTACTGAAAAAAAATACCAATCTGAAATTGAAAATTGGGACTTAATTGCTTTCATGCTTACTCGCTATACATAATAGTACAAATTATTTCATTGGCTAACACATATCCATGAATTTTACATAAAATATTTGACAATATATCTTTTGCATATAATCTCTAGACGCATTTTACATACATACATACATATAAACTGACCGAGATAGATAGATAGATAGATATGAACAAGCAGACCGAAAGACAGATAGAGATATGGCCAGACTGAGATAGATACTTAGATATGAACAGATAAATAGATAGATAGATATGAACAGATACATAGATATGGGCAGATAGATAGATAGATAGATAGATAGATAGATAGATAGATGACAGACTGAGATAGATAGATAGATAGATAGATAGATAGATAGATAGATAGATAGATAGATAGATAGATAGATAGATGCATCTCATACCTGACATCATGGTGCAGCTTCTAGTTGAACGCTTGTGGCTTAATAAAAAGAAAATAACTTTTCGGCTGGATCGTTACCCAAGTAAAAAACCATGAGACGAAATTGTAGCAGTCGGCAAATTTTATTTTGTTGTAACCTTCTCGTAAATTCCCGCTGTAGGCAAGCAAGGAAAAGTGAGGCGAGGTGAGGAGGTGACAGTCTAAACGGCGGGTGCATTTCTTTGGCGTTAGCGGGTGAGCGGTTTTCTGGTGTAGGCTGCTAGAGACCACTATCTTATAGAGAACAAACATTCTTTGTCATGTCTATAAAATGTCATTCATCAAGAACCCAATGTCTGCCTCAATTAAGTTGACCCAGTGTCGGTTGACTTCGTTCTTTGGACGTCTGCTCCACACAGCTGACCTTCTTTGTCAAGACGATAATTGCCAAAACGATTTCCGTAACATCCTGCAGGTGTGTCTTTAACAAGATATCAGCTACGTAAATAGATAAGATATAAGATAAATATGGACAGACTGAAATAGATAGATAGATATCAGATGAATGAAATAGATAGATGGATGTGATCAGACACTGACTGATAGATATGAACAGACAGTGATAGATAAATAAGAAGTGAGATAAATATTAACAGACTGAATATATATATATATATAGATAGATAGATAGATGGATAAGATGTGAGATAGATACGAATAGATTGAAATGGATAGATATTAGCAGACTGAAATAGGCAGATACATAAATATGTGAACACTGATATATAGATAGATATGAATAGGCAGTGATAGATAGATAGACACGAACAGACTGAAATAGTTTTCGAGGATACATGGCCCAGTGGATAAATGCGTTGGTTGTATTCAGTGACAAAAATTTAGAGGGTTGAGTTAAAGGGAGATAACTGAAACTTGAGGCATGGAATGCGGAACTAGAACAATGTACCCTAGTGATCTAAATAGTTCAGCTCGAAATTCCAATCACCTGAAAAAGGCCTGAGTGTAAAACGGTCGAAACATCATGAATATGGCAATAAAGATGAGGACAAAAAATGTAAATAATGTTAGCTAAAATAGATAGATTTGAGCAGACTAATATATATATATATATATATATATATATATATATATATATATATATATATATATATATATAGAGAGAGAGAGAGATAGACAAATAGATATTCTGCCCTGACTCTTCGGGACATAGGCGATACTTTCTCTACATAGATTTCTTATCTTTCTGTATTATCCCCTCGTGAATTGCCATTGCATAATTAGAAAAGATCGTAGAGTGGATTCCAGTTGTTTTTTTTTCCGCGTAGTTCTTCCAGTCTGCCCTGTTATTTACGCCATTGGTAAGAGATAAGAAAGATGGATTCATGCCTTTCTTAAGTGAGCGTAACAGAAGAGACCGACATTTGAACATGGCTTGAGGATTCCATTTACTGCTTCAATAGCCGTTACGTCACGTGTACACATCCATTTGTTAAAAGAAGCTTTTTATTTGCCTTTGATGGCGACACAAAAAATGATGTTCGTTTGCAAAGGGATGCAGAATAAATGTTGCTGGAGAGATGTGGAAACAAAAAGCCTTCACTGATCGTGTGACGTTTTAAATGATCAGAAAAAAAAATGAAGGCCGTTTCCTTTTCCTTTTTTTGTCAGTTGAATGAAATGATTTTCCATATGAAAGATTTGTTGGGCTTCACTAATCAGCTTTCGTCAAAACAAAAGTATTAGCAGAACTGATCATAAACAGTCTATAAGAAAAGGTAAATTGATTTTGCAGTAACACCTCATATTTATGTCGATATCTACGTTGTGAAAAACACACACACACACATATATATATATATATATATATATATATATATATATATATATATATATATATATAACAAATATAGATAACTATACTCGTTTCGAAAAACCCTTGAATTTTTTGATTTGCCAATAATCAAATCAATCTCGAGGAAAAAAATTTTTTAAAGAAAGAAAGAGCTACAAACATGAAAGTCTGTCGAAAAAAAAATCGCACAGATACAGGTTTGAAGCCCAAAGAAAAAACTGCGATACGAGTAAACAACTAACAAAAGAGCTCAATACAACCGTAGAGCAGACCAGACCGGTTGTATTGAGCTCTTTAGTTAGGTATATATATATATATATATATATATATATATATATATATATATATATATATATATATATATATGAATGTGTAGTGAGAACGAAAATAATATATAAATTCTAACTTTCACAGCACTAATTAAAAAGAGTACTCAATACCAATAGCTGAGCAATAATTATTATGATTTTTTCATATAGACAAAAACAATTTACTCACGACAAAGATGCAACTCCGTTTTGGTGCATTTAGTTGCACCTCGACTGGTGAGAACCAAAATGGTTATGAACGATTTTGTTTTTAAACAAGCCGCACATGGAACATCGCTTCCTTTTTTCTATTTATTTGAAAAAAAAAATAGGTATATTTTAAGATGGGACGTATAAGGATAAAGAAAAATTAGAAGAGGGAAAAGGGTGACAGATTGAAACAATAGTGTTTGTTGATATCAGTTTGTTGAAGGATTGTTGAGACATTAATGTAATTGGCTCGAAAGTAAACATTTTTTTTTAATCGACAAAAACGCCCAAAACCTCCTAAGAGTGAGGAGCGGGGGAGAAAAGTTGAGAATTAAGGAGAGTCAGACGATGAAAGAGGAAGGAAAGATAAGTTTAAAATGATGGTTTTACTAGTAATTGTAAATATTTTTGGTAATTTTAAAACGAATCCAGAGCTGAATTGCGTATTTTTAGGCTGGAATTATTGCTACTAATTTTGTAATCAATGAATGAATTTTGAAAATCAATAAATTAAGAGGTGGAGATTTTTCTTTTTTTATTTTTAACAATAAGTTTTAGTTTAGAATTTAAGATATAAGTTGAAAGGTATATAAAAGTATGGGATATTAATATAACTTTTCATTTGAAAACGGTGAATTCAAATCTTTGATTTAATAATTGGCTGTTGTGCAAAAGTTTAATAATACATATTTTCCTGCAAGCATAAAAAACAAGGTTCGTTCAAAGATTTTCAAATTCTGTCTTGTTTTAGGATTTTCCATTTAACCATAGATATTTTGTTTTCCTCCTTCAGTTTCCAAAAGTATTTAGAAAGTGATGTCATATTGCATTTGATTATATTAGTAAAAGAGGATATTTGATTGTAATATCGATCCTTAAAAGATCTTCTAGTGGATCACACATACAATTGGGGTTGGGGTTCTCATTGATGAGATATAGTACATATATACAATGGATTTTGTTAGGCACCTGTTTGATAATGGATGTTGATTGGGGATTCTGCAGTTGTATAGCTCTGTTACTTCGAGTTACAATTTGTGTTTGGGTTGTGTTTATTTTCGTTTCAGTATTTTTGATTTAATAATTTTATCTAGATTTTTAGAACAGCTATAACTGATTTTTAGGGCATTTCGGTTGAAGATTTGACTTGATTTACTGTTCGTAGGAAAGTGTTTGTTAATTAGATTTAAAAATTTGTGTCCCAATTTGGTACGGACTAATTTGTTGAAGGGGGGGTGTATACCAAATTATTTTTCTTTCTCTATTGTTATTTTTCTAGAGTAACTATAATTTCCCCTATATTTAATTTTGAAAGATCTGTAGCCGCTGTCGGTAAGGATTTTGTTATAAACAATTTTGTGTTTATTGAATATTTCTTTGTTAGAAGGGTGCTGGTTGATACAGCGTTCAACAGATAATGGGATATGCTTAATAACTGGGTGATTGGAATTAAGATTTATATGAATGGGGTTAGCGTCATTTTTGAAGAAAAGCAGGAAATTATTAAGTTTAAGGTTACGTCTAAGAAATCCACTTGTTTAATGTTAGATTTAATTGTAACTTTGAGGTGTTAAGATTTAAATACTGTATGAATCAATGTCCGCAACTTGTCTACCTTAATCTCGGTAGAATTATTTGCAATCATCAAAGCATAGTCTCTATAAATCTCTATATTATTTAAGCTAGTTTCATTATGTGCAGTGAGATTGTACAAAATAAAGTCAGATGACTCGGCAGAATCCAGAGATCCCATAGATTCATCAAAATTTTCACCCGAATTCTTTATCCATTGTTCGTTGTTGTAGATTATTATTGATTTTCTACAATTTAGGATAATACCGATTTCATCCTTAGAGATATCGGGAATAAAATCCGGCAAACTCCAAAACCATTTCGAAAAGGTTTTTGGATATGGTTATTTGATATATATATATATATATATATATATATATATATATATATACTGAGTGCAACTTGTACAGCATGGTAAGAGGAAGAAGATCATACAGGTCTTCCAATATTCATACTCTGGCTTCCATCTTTAAAGTTCATTCAAGAACCCCCAAAAGAACGGTGAATACGTTTAAAAAAGAAGGCAAAATAGACAGGAAAACTGGATTAGGAGGTGACAGCAGTAAACGCAATCATCATTTCAACTTAGAGCTAGATACATTCTTATTGTTCAAAGTAGGGTACAAGAGGTTCATAAAAACATCGGAAAATTGCTGTAAGATATCTTTAATCATTTCCATGATAAAACGTTTAAAAACTTAATCTAATAATTGGACAATTTTTGCTGTTATTTGGACAATTATGCTATTTTATATATATATATATATATATATATATATATATATATATATATATATGAAAGAATATAGTTTTAAGGCACGCTATATTTCTAGTGTAAAATGCTTAATAGCCGAGATAGAGTGTCTCTAAATACAAGAAGATATCTGCATTCACATGCCTTACACTGGCATGCAAAAGTTTTGTTACATAAAATGCTAAAATATTTAGCATTCTGTTTTTATCAGCAAAGTTTGTGGAGCTTGTCGACTGAACAATAAATTGTTGCATTATCATAGGTGCCGTTTAATATATATGACACGTCCCTGAAACTGTAAGA